TTCTCTTCACTTTGGCCTTCAGGTGTAGCCGCAGACCTACATCGCTATCAACTGGGCCGGTGGACTCAGTGATGCCAAGAAGTTCAAAGCATCTGGTTTCTGTTACATGAATGACATCCTGCTGGCCATTTTTGAGTTGCTTAAGTAAGAAAAGAAACATTTCAAGTTTTTTTTTTTTGTCAACAGAAGTGAAACTTTTGGACAGCGTTTACAGAGTGTTGTGAAATGTTTACAGGACATCGGGGCTGGAAAGAGCAATGACTACACAGTGAATTACCCACGATGCCATCTTTAAACAGGTAAGTCTGTGAGTTTCTATTTTATTTTTTAAATGTGCGACTTAGGTTTAGATCATGGCCAAAGTAATGGAGATGTAGCAGCTGAGCGCAGAGGTGCTTCAGTTCAACGTCACTATAAAAGTTTTGAAAAAGAAATTGATTTTAGCCTTTACCAGGTATTGACAAAGGAGTGAGTGACACCAACTGGACAAATCCAGTACAGAAAAGATTACAGTATTTGAAGTGTACAAAATTTATTTATTTATAATTGAAGCGTTTTGTAACATGCTAGTGCTAAACACTTTGAACATGGTGTAGTCATTTGAGAGCATTTGTATGTAATGCATTTATTTCACCTTGTGTTTCAGGCCTAAAGATGTTTCATGAAGTTGTTCCACACCTGATGATGGGACCGTTGTTGAATCCTGTGAGCACACGTGGTGGTGAGTATGTGATCTGTCCATCTTTACCTGAAGTGTTAGATAAAGCTGAGAGTTAGTTGTAATTTGACTTGTATTGAAATGTGTAGGTACTGTGTAAAAGTGTTTTTACTATTTAAAAAAGTCATTATTTCATTAATTGTGGGTTTTTTTTAATCTTAGCTTTTTACTTACTGCTTGTAACAAACTAACTTTTTTCAATGACACAAGTCCAGCAAACAAGTGATCTGCTTCAAATAAAGTTGCTCCTTCACTGTACCTGGCAGAGTCCAAGCTGCTGTGTCCACAAGCCGTCTCCTCTGCTGCACTCTGTTAAGACAATAGCATACAAGGCACAATGAATGACACAATCAAAACCCTGTCTGTGTAGATTTTCAGTTCAGCAGAACTGAAGAAGCCTCTTGGATGAGAAATAAAACTTTAAACTACTCTACTACTTTAAAAAACCCTACTTTGTCCAGTTGTCCTCAATGTAACTATTTTTGGAACAATAAAAAGCAGTGTTGGTCTCATTTACCTCTTGCCGTCAGGGTGGAAAGCCACGCAGTTGATGGGACCAAAATGACCTTTGACTCCTGCCAAACTCCTCTTTGTACGCAGCTTGGAAGAACCTGCAGATTAGAAGAACACGTCACTGTGCCACATGTTAACACAAACAGGGTTTCCTTAAAAGCAGCTACAAAGTAGTCACTTCTACAGCACCTCCAACATTACAACTACAGTGGAAAGTCTTTTATTGTACAGTGGAAAGTCATTTGATTGTTGCACAATCAAATGTCATAACAACTAAATGTTTACACATTACTATCAACAACAACAATACAAATTCAATGCTTTAAACAGATATTTCTTCACTACATAAAGGCCTTTGTTTGTAACAAAGTGGTGGCTTCTTCAGTGCTAATGCTAACACCACAGTGGAATAAAGAACATCTGTACATTTTCTTCATCTCTTTTTTTTTGTTAAGATGAAGACAACAGTCACTGGATGCTTTATTCAACCACACAATAATACTCTGGAAACACCACTTCAACTCACCTGGCCTCAAACTTGCCAATCCTGGTGGAAGCTGTGGTCACTTCCATGGCCTCCTGCTCACCTCCCATAAGCACCTACCGTCCGTTCGTGGCCCTGCAGTAGGATGGGTTTCTGTACAGAAAAGCAGTATTTGCAAGTTCATTTCACATTTTCAAAAAGGTGCATCAGCCCAGTTCAAACTCCTGTCATAAGCCAATTCCTTATTTACCACGACAACTTTATATTAATTGTTTTGGACAAAAAACTAACTGCTAATCATTTTAACTTCTGACAAAAGCTAACGTTAGCTGCCGAGCGCAAATTGCGCTAACGCTCTCGACCGAACGACTACCATTTCAAACAAAATACAACAGACAATTGTTTTCAAAAACCTACCATTTCAAATCATTCAGATGTAGCCACCGCATTCAGTTTTTTTACTTGAACGCCCGCTGAAAGCCCAAACTGCTAATACTCGTGTCGTTTCATGTGCCGGATCGCAACCGGAAATAAGGACCGTACAACATATTTCTATTTCCGTTACACAAACGTTCCAATATCAGCGCGACTTTTTTATTTTTTAGTATTTTTTTTCGTGATAGTAATGCTATAGTCTCGCTTGTTTTTAGTGATATTTTGACATGTTCAGATATAATGTTTTTGGAGTTTTTACCACTAATTATTCACTTGGCAACATGTTTTGGGGCATAAACTTGCATTTTGAGGCATTTTTTAGACTATTTTTTTAGCATTTTGTCACGATAGTAAGGCTATATTAGTGTTGCTTGTTTTTTCGGTAATATTTTGACGATAATAGAATTTTTAAGGACATGTTTTGGAAAATATGTTCAAAATGTATTAAATTGTAAACAAATATTTTAAAAAAACCCAATCATAACCACTCCATCTTTGTATTTTATGGTAAAGAAGACATTTTGTTGATCCTTGTATTTATTTTAGTTTGATCCCACAGGATCCCATTTTCACCTGATACTTCATGAAAGCATTTTAGGGAATATTTTACAATTTCTTTTGAAAGTTGGTGGTAGAATACACTTTACATATGCTCTCATTTGAAGGAAATTGGTATTTACAAAAATCAGTACTGACACATCAACAATCACAATCAGTACATGGCTAAAAATGTTATAAAAACAAAATCTACAACATTGCTTTTAAAATGAATCAGTCCTTCCGCTGGGCAGTTATTATTAAAAAAACAAACAAAACATTCTATGTAAATAGTAGAACATGTCAGGGAAATATTTTCAGACATCACTTCTGAGCTAAATTCTCAAACATTTGACCAGATATTTGACCAAATATAAGTCACATTCAACTATAGTAAATATTTCCTTATTTTCAATTGCAAGGTAAAAGTCTACAATACAAGATTAGTTTTGTAAATTCAGATCTGAGGCATGTGTGCAAGGAATAGAAGAAACAATTAAGGATTTTCAATTAACCACAATTCTGTGAGCAATGGTTTAATGTTATTTGTAAAGACATATCTGTAGTAGCACTAGCTACAGAAGGTTTCACTGGTCCAGGTCCAAAATCTTTGCAGGTTCTTCAGGTTCTGTAGGCTCCATTCCCTGAGTAGTGTCCTTCAGGACAGAAAAATGAGGAAAAATGTTAATGAGGAAACCCACACCACTTCAACCATCTCCTCATTATCATTCAGTTATAACTAATTGCAAATCAATGTAGCAAAACAAAGACCATGTCCTCACCCAATGACAGACTGTGGTGATCACCTGGGTCAGTTTGTAAAATGTGACTCACACAACCACCCAAGTGATGACATCATCATGCCAATGGGTCAGGGCGTGGTCACCTCCTTTGTTTTGCAATGACAACTCTGTTCAGATATTCAGCCACTCTGAGGCTAAATACTAGATTCTTTGCAGCAGACAGTCAGAATTTAAAAAAGCCTCTTCAGGGGTGAAAAGTTTGGAAACCAACAGAGTCCAGTTGCCCTCTACTTAACTGTCTTGGATAACCTGTGACCTGGATGACAAAGAACCTACACAGACACTACCCTATATCACAAATCTATATAAGGTTGTGGTTATTGTTCTCTCCAACCTCTTCAATAGGTGGTAAACCAAATAAATTGAAGAAGTCAGACCATGGTTTCGGGTAAAGGAGGGTGAGGGTGGCGATGGGTAAATGGATTATTGGCTAACTGTTTCCTGCCAAATCTGGGTTGGGATTGTAACTGGATCACATCCTCTAAGCACTTTGCATTAAACACATTATAATCTTCTATTTGACCTCAATTTGACGACACATTTACTTATGTTATCTCGCCCAATTTATTTTTTAAGTCTAAGCTAATCCATAGATGCTGGTTTTGACAAACTAAAACCTCTTATTGATTGTTTCATTAATTCATTAGTCATTCAGACAAGTTTGTTCTACCAGACACATAACCAACAGTGTAAATAAGGCCCCATGATCATGATTCAATTCTGAATTGCAGTGTCTTAACACATTTTCCTAGATATGTTTTTAAAAACAGAAATTGCTAATTCTGAGGGAGGGCTTTGTAGCCCACTCCACCTCCCACCCCTTTTCCTGTGCAGGTTTTATTTTCAAAGTGATTTTCAATCACATGCAAAATAGTATAACAGTAGTTACTTACAGTTGTTAGCTACACATCGATTAAACATGACCTACCCCAAAAGGCTCAGTGAAGGCCCTGGAGCCACTGTACAGTGGGTTGGGAATAGACACCAGGGTGGGTTTGGTTTGGCCACCTGCTGTTCCATCCTCGTCCTCATTCTGTTATTAATCAAAGAAGATAACAAAACAACCAGATACATTGGCTATGTCAGTCAACTAGTCCACATAAGCTAATGGCTGAAGTTTCAGTTTTTAACCTTAATTGTTTTTTAACAAAGTCTGAATTTAGTGCATTATAAAGTGTGTATTTTGTATCTTACTCTGAAGTAGTGGAAGCGGAATGCATCACTCTTGTGCTTAAAGACATAGTAGCCAAGCACAGCCAACACACAGGCCAACAACACTGACACCAATATGGCTGACACCGTGCCGCTGGTATGGGCATGGCCTCTTGAATCAGCACGGTAGATCTGATGGTGATGAAAATAACAAACAAACACAAAAAAAGGTTTGGAGGACAAAGAAATCCC